CACAGCTACAGCCTGTCTACACCCACAGCGACAGCCTGTCTACACCCTCTGCCCCGCAACTTTCTAAGCTAGGAGTTAGATTCTCAATGCTGGAATCAATATCTAGGTTACTTTGAGCATCTTATTTAGTTTCTAGAACCCTTGATTTCCTCATCCATAAAGTGATAGCAGTTGTGGTGCTTCATTCTCTCACTAATAAAACAACAGCAAGAAACAAACAAAACAAAAACCTTTTTTATTGTTTTTCCTGAAGCAACAAGTGTGTGTGAGGTTTTGGGAATACACTCTGAGGGCACAATAACAAGTAGAGGTGTGTCTGCTGATCTTCATAACTGAAGCTTCACTGGAACAAACACTGAGCAAGGATATAGCACGCTCCCAAAATCTGTGGAGCTAAAGACTTAGACCAGCTATGATCCCTCCTGGGGCATTATGGGCACTCGGCTGAAAGATGGGTATGAAAGTTGCTCCTTAAGCCCCAAAACTCTGTCAAAACAACATTCGCCCACCTAGCTTGTGTCTGTCACCTCTCCCACTCAAAACCTGAAGTCAGAGCATGAGAAAAACAAACAGGAAAACAAGCGTTCACATAGACACCATCGTGCAGCAATCTTTCTCCACAGTCTCTCCCAAAGTAAATATTATTTTACCAGACCAGGACAGGCATGCTCAGAGCATAACCACTAAGCCCCAGGTGACATTGCTCAGGGATCAGACGCAAAGGTCAGCCAGGTGCCTCTCTGTCACTGTGGAGTAAACAAGGCAGCGACTCCCCTTGGTGTTTCCGCTGCCACTGTGCTCCGAAGGCAGCTTTTGATGATCTGAAAAAGAATAGGGACTCCCAGCCAAGATGCTAAGAGAGAAGAAAGTTCCTGCCGTGAAAGAGTGGCCAGTAAGGTGGGATGTGGTCCTGTGCCCAAGAGCCCCATCTCCACCTGCCCTGATGCTTGTTGCTGTTCCAAAAGGCTGTATTTTGGTGGGAGACAAGCACAGTCATGCTATGGGCCTAGTCCAGCTCAGCTGTTGTGGACCCTGAGCGGACAAATTTAAAAGCTGAGGTTCAGAGAGGAGCTGCGTATCAGAGGCAACACACTGAAGAGCTCCAGGGCTCTGTTTCTGGGCCTGCTGGCATCACTCCAGTGCGGAGCAGTTCCATGTCAGATTTCCTGGGCTGATGTCTGAGCTTCTCATGCTCCGGGAGCCCCCAGACTCTCTATGCCCTGACAGAATCTACTGTTCCTCTGTAAACCATTTGAGACTTGCAGTTAAGCGCCATACTTCCCAATAAAGCAAAGGTCTTTGGGATTTGGGCTTCGGTACCAGGATGTACCTAAACCTGCACACTGATACAGTGACCACCAAGGCAGATGGAGGAGTCTTGTATACTGTATGGAGATACAGTGACCTCCCCCAAGACGGATGGAGGAGTCCTGTATGGTGTATGGGGATACAGTGACCACCAAGGCAGATGGAGGAGTCCTATGTGGTGTATGGGGATACAGTGAACACCAAGGCAGATGGAGGAGTCCTGTATGGTGTGTAGGGATACAGTGACCCTCGAGACAGATGGAGGACTCCTGTATAGTGTGTGGGGATACAGTGACCCCCGAGTCGGATGGAGGAGTCCTGTATGGTGTACGGTGATACAGTGGCCCCTGAGACGGATGGAGGAGTCCTGTATGGTGTACGGTGATACAGTGGCCCCCGAGACGGATGGAGGAGTCCTGTATGGTGTACGGTGATACAGTGGCCTCCAAGAAATATGGAGGAGTCCTGTATGGCAAGGCAGTGACCACCAAGGCAGATTGCTCCTATTTTAGTAAACTGGAGACCAGAGCAAATGTAAAGAAACTAGGAGAAACTTACAAACATGGAACCTGTGTTTTCTGAATTCCTGCTCCAATAAACCACATCCTTCTTCATCGAGAAACAATTTTGTCCATAGAGCAAGGTGGAACACAAGCATGTTTTCCCAAGACTCAAGGAGCTGTGTGTGAATGTTGGTCTCCATCTAAGGGTAACCAGTAAATTCATGCAAGATCGCTTGTTTGAATGCTTAGTGCCTACACAGATACGAAGGACCCCATAGCCTTGGTCTCTCCCTAAAATATCCTCCTTTGATTGATATGTCCCCTGATGGTAGGAGGGGAAAATTCACCTTTTGAAGTCAGACTAATTTAAACCTAGGTCTTGGAGGGAGTTATTTAATATGTTTGAGCCTCACTTTCTGTATGCATATTGAAAAAATGCTGCCTAACTTTAGGGGTTTGGTCTGAGAACGTGACACCAAACCCGAACTTATCAGCATGGTGTCCAACAGGTAAAGCATTCAGCCAGTGTTTTCCCTTCCCTTCTTTAGCCCCTTGCTTTTTATGATAACAATTCAGAGTTGTTCATTGGGCAAGTTAAAAAAACAAAAACAAAAACAAAATCAAACAACAACAACAACAAAAAATGTCGAGGAGTCCGGTGGACAAGATATACCAGAGGTGGAACCAGAGGAGAAGTCACTGGGAGACGATTTAAAATAATCTCCTGTTGCTTTAGGACTGAGACACCTGCCTAGTCACTTCTTTATCGTAGCTAGGAGTGGGTCCTGGGCTTGTGCTGAAAGCCCTCATTCCCACATCTTAAGCTCTTGTTTTTGAAATGAGAAGTCAATAATCCAGTAACTATTTATTAAACTGATAATGTCTTCCAAACTTCAAACCTGAAAGAGACTAAAGGAGAAAGACCAAAAGAACAAGTTTGAGCATGGACAAGCTGCCACCTTTGCTGCATATGGACAGACAGCCTAAATGTGGGAACAAAGACTCAGAGAGAGAGAGAGAGAGAGAGAGAGAGAGAGA